CTTGAATATAAGGAAACTGGTCTTTAAAATTAATAAGAAGAAAAAGTGTTTATTTATGTCTATTATATCTGAAACAAACACTAAAAACAATTTACACCAAGTTTAAAAATCTTTAAAAAATGCCCAAGTCCAGTTGTCATAGTGCCCCCTTTCGTACAGTCCAACCGTATTCATGAAAATCTAGTCTGTACGAAGAGGCGTTTTCAGAAAAGCTTTCTTTATGATAGAAGTCGAAGCGTCACAAGCGACGCTTTCTCGGCATCCACTCCAAATGTACAAAATTCGAACGGAATTACTCGGCAGTTCCTCACCAGATATGAATGAAATTTTAAGATTTGCGTAATTAAATTGGCATGAAACAAAAAAAAAAAATGTAGTTTTAAAGGCCAAACATGTCCTTGATTTATTTGCCACTTTTTACTCCGGATTCTACTATCCGAAAGTACAGCACAAGAGGCTAGTAAAACGAAACTATTCAAACTTTGCAACTAAGGGGGAGTCACCACACTTATCGACATAGAACTGGTTTGAGGAGGTAATGTCACACTCGTCGCATTAAATTGATTCGCAGGCGTAGTTCGGCAGTTCGGACGACGACGCAGCCGTTCTTCGACGAATCGTCACCGCCGCGCCGTTCAGCCACTGGGAAATAATATGGAAATCTCCAAAATGCGGACCTCGACGCAGCTGATTAGGCGATGACGCGTTTGCTCGAGCCGGTGCAAAATCTCAATATCTTTTTCGCTCTTATTAATGTAATGTGACATTATTAGATTGACACTGCTTACTACGTGGTTTAATACGATTCCGTCTTGATAAGTGTGGTGACTCCCTAAGTCCAGAGCAAATTAAATACAATGACGTCAAACTTTAGAAAAATGAATGTTAATAAAAACTGTATTATAAATGCTAGATTGGAACCCGTTTTTTGCGTATCTCTTTGAACGGGTTTGAGTATACTAAACAGGATCTTTTGGTGCGAATTTTTTAGACTTTGCACAATCATTTCAAAATCATAGTAAAAACTTTGGATTGAGACAGAGGTCATATATATTTTCTTATACACCTTGTAGTGTGCGGTTATATTGGTTATATGATCAATGTTCTTTACTTTAGCGGTGGTGTTATCATAAAATTTGAAACATACGTACGTTTAGGCCGCTTTCCTGATGGAAAGCTAGGATTGTGATGAGTCACAGCTTTCCACTTGCTACGACTCTAAAAATTGTATTAATATTTCTTAAAAATTCTTATAAGTGTTAGTTGAAATGGGTACGACCTTCGAGGAATTATTCAAATACTATATTATATTCATATGAGAACTTTTAATGTGCAATAAATGAAATGTGAATTATTAAGTATAATATTATAATATGTACATATCATTGAACAATGTAACACTTAATTATTTACAAAATACAATAAACAAAAATATATTCGAATGTGTTAGGTATCACAAAAATACACGCACAAAAATGGCACGTGTAACGATATTTCAAT